ACCCCAATGTCCTTTTCCCCCGGTTATCCCATCTTAACCCCAGGAGATCCTGGAGAGGGCCCTTCCCCTCTCCTATAACCACGGATCTTACACCTTTCCCATGATCCCTGATATCCTGTCCCTTTCTCCTGGTGTCTTTCTGAAATGTCAGCAAGGACAGGAGGAACTTCCCTCCTGATCTGGAAATACTTAGCCAAACTGGACAGGAAATTCCAACAATTTCTCTCCTCGTTACCTCAAAAATAAGTTAACTTTTAAAAAGCCATTATAGTAAGTGCTGTTGAGCTCTTAACATACACCAGACACGTGCTAAGTGTTTTACATGAATTAACTCAATTAATCTTCCTAACAATGCTACAGGATAGGAACGACTAATCACCCCCATTTTACAGGTGAAAAAACTGAGGCAGAGAACTCAGGAATTTGTTCAGGGCCAAAGTCAGTTAGTAGAAGAGCTGGGGGTTGAACACAGGCGTGCTCTGTCAGAGTCCGTGCTCCTGACCTCTCTGCGATAGTGCCCATGACAGCAGCAGTCTCCAGGGGAAACCACGATGAAAAGAGAAAAGGCGTAGGGCAGGCCTCCCACGAGGAGTGGGGTGGGGGCTGCAGACATGTACATGACTTTGAATGTATGCTTTTATGTTTTATTCTCTCACATCCTATTTACTTACCTGTAATGTTTTCTGTCTTACAGGACAGGGATTATTTCTGTCTGACTTTTTGTAGAGCGAGTTATGTGTCATATGCAGGTGAATAGAGTTGATGGAGACCACAGATCATTAACACATTAATAAAATTTTTTTAAGATTTTATTTATTTATTTGAGAGAGAGAGAATGAGAGAGAGAGAGAGAGCACATGAGAGGGAGGAGGGTCAGAGGGAGAAGCAGACTCCCCGCCGAGCAGGGAGCCCGATGCGGGATTCGATCCCGGGGCTCCAGGATCATGACCTGAGCCGAAGACAGTTGCTTAACCAACTGAGCCACCCAGGCGCCCACATTAATGAATTATTAATGTATTATTTTTAGTTTCTCCTATACAACTTCCTATGCATGCTATAAATGGAAGAGTAATTACAGTAGCTCACAATCATCCAGCTCTTATTGTATTCTTCCTCTTCTGGTAAGCACTCTCCATTATCCTATGGAAACATGGGTTTGAGATAGGTGCATATATCATCCCATCCTACACATCTGAAAATGGCAGCTTAAGGAAGTATAGTAACATATTCAACATCACACACGTAGAATGAATTGGAGCCAGAGTCTAAACCCGGCCCCAGACTCCTGGGTTTCAAACACAGGGATAGGAAAAACAAATAAATTCTGGTATAATGATGTTTGTATTTGGGATTCAGAGACCAGAGCAGCTAAGGTTGCCCAAAGAAACTGAGGAAAGTTTTGTAAAGTGTTTACATTTGAGTTGGGTGACAATGGAATAATTGGAATTTTCCGGGCAAAAAATAAGAATGGAGGAAAAGCATTCCAGGCAGAAAGAGAGTAAGTACAAAGACACAGTTTAGAAAGGATCAGGCATCTCCTGGGAAGAGAGGAAATCTGAATTTGGCAGGAACATTTAACTTCAGGGAGAGTGGCTGAAGATGATGCTAGAGAGTATCCGCAACAAGCTTGTGAAAGATTTCTATGCCTGGAGAAAAACTTGAGCTTTATTTATAAGCAGTGGGAAGTCAAGAAGAGCTTTCAGGCAGGGACTGGCATGCTAACTTTAAAAGATGTTTCTCAGGCCAACGTGAGAATGGACCTAGTGTGCTAAGTAAGGAGTGTGGGTGGGGTAGACAGAAGAGCAGGTGGTGAATAATAATGTCTCGGACAGTGTCAGCTTAGCTCCAGTGTCCTTCAGGAAGAGCTGGTCCAGGGCTGCCACGAGCCTGCAGTGTCTTCCTACAATATAGAGAGAGGCTTCCCTGCCTCCCAACAGCTTAGTTCCAAGCTCAGGCACGTGCTGAACTTGGCAAGCAGAGGACAGACTCAGCCTTAGCCTCCTTCCGTCCTCTTGGTTGTGGGACCTACTTTCCTTAGGCATGACCTGAACTGAAGCTTCTCCTAAGCACATGGATGGGGAGATGGGGTGCCAGGGCCAAAGGTAAGGTGCATGCTTGGCACGGCCACCCGTTTAGCAAAGGAAAACTGTTGAGCATGACCCCTAAAGCTACGCACTTCATGAAGCCAACAAACATGGCTTCATGACCCTGAGCAAGTTATGTAATTCCTCTAAGCCTCAGTTTGCTCATTTGCTTAGTAGAGACAGTAACAGTTACCCGCCTAGTTGGGTTGCTGTGAGAATTAAATGAGATAATAATGCATGCAAAGGCCTTAACTCGGTAAGCACACAATACACACTGAGGGCATGTTAGCTGTTAGTATTCCTACTATCCCAACAATGAGCGAGAGCCCTTCTAGGCCTGGAAAAGGGTATTGGCTATACGTGCACTTGAGTTGGCTGTCCTCTGCCCCTTATCCCCTGCTTCCCCCAAACCTCAGTAGGAGGAAGACTGGCATCCAGAGACAGATGGCAGCGATGGGAACTGGATACGTCACAGCATTCCAGAGGTTGGCTCTGTCTACTTCATCATAGCAGACAACGTGGTCATAGGGCGGGGCCACTGGAGGAAGCCCCAAGAGAAGGTTTCATACGGGAAGCAGGCTTTCTCTCCTCCTCCATCCAGCCCCATTTCTTTCCATATGTACCCCCTGTCCTCAGTCTGCTCTTCCTTTCCTAACCCAGCCCACTACCCATACTCTCAATGGCTCGCGCTCCCGTTGCCCTCTCCCTGCAAGGGAAGGGTTTTTTGCTCAAGACTTTTGCCCCTTTTCTCTGGATGTCTCTGTGCACTGGCAGAAGTGAAGTAGCCATCCTGGCATAGAAATACTCAGCGCAAGTGGCCTTGTTGGCTGGGCCAGGTGGGGCTAGGTTTTCTTGGGAGTGGCGATGCACTGGCCCGTTGTGGGCAGCTGGGACAGAGGGCATAAGGTCAGAGGAGCAGCCGAAGGAACTGTGGTCCCTAGTCTGCGTAGGGAGAGAGCAAGCTGGGGGTGAAGGATGAGGCCGCTGCCAGTGGGGGGTGGCGAGAGATCGGCCGCGGCTGGTTTTGGTGGCATGAGCACAGGACATGGTAAAGGATGGGAGAAGGCAGGCCCCCGCAAGTAGCAGCAGGCTTGGCAGCTGCCAGTGAAGCAGATCCAGAGGCCTTCCCTCACAGCCCTCAAATCATACCCTTAGCAGCACCCTCCGCTGCCAGTGTCTCTTTCTTTACCCTGCTTTGGTTTTCTTCATAGCACTGAGCAAAACTTGAAATTAAATACTGTTTATTTATTTGTCGTCAGTGTCCCGCTCCTCTCCAGGCTTTGTCTCATCTGTTGCTCTATTTTCAGCATCTAGTAGAACAACGCCCGGCGCACAGTAGGGCCTCAATAAATATTTGCTGTATGTAAGATTGAAGGCTCACCGTCATTATTCAGAGAAGAGTCATTACTGCCTTGCCTGTGGCTGAACAGCACTGAGCCCGTGTTACACGCCAGGGATGAGTCAGTTTCCCTCTGGTCTAGCAGAGTGCCGCGGTGCCCCCTTTCTCTTGAGAGGGTGCTACACAGCCTTGGATCTGAAATGACATTGCAGAGATCCTCTCCTGGGACCACAGGACCCATGTAGCTGAGAAGAGATGTTGTACTTTGCCCCTTGTCCTTGTCCGCCTCAGGTCAACACCAAGGGTGAGGGCCGTAGTCTGGTGGGTGAGTTAAAACATCCTTCGTAGATGTCACTGGGAGGTCTGTGTAGGTCAGTTGGAAATTGCGCTCATAAACCAGGAAGAGGGAGGCCCTCAAAGTTTTTAGAAGTTCGAAGTTGACTCCATTTCTTTGGCATAGGAGCAGGGCCAATTTTTCTGTAGTGTAATAGTAAAGTGCTGTCAGGAGTGGGACCATTCCTAAAGGTGGGAAGACCTCAATCCAAACAGTCCATCCAAAGAGAGCATGTGTGGAGGCTGGATTAACCATCCACTGCTGCGGTAGCCAGGACTCCAGATACAAAGCCAAAGAAGGCACCATTCCTTTTCATGCCCTAGGAAGAGCATTCCTACTAAGCACCTACCTCCATGTGAAGAAGAGAATGAAGTCTCACTAGGTATCTGTGAACCTGACTGTAAGATACATGGGTGAAAAGTGAAAAATGCTCATAATCCCAGATGATTCACAGACGTAAAACCAAGTATCCACGTAATTACACTTTTTACTTGGCAACCAGAGATTTGGTGTGATGTCGACTCATAGTTCATAATATCTTATACATGTGTGTATATGTATGTGTATATTTTGTACATGTGTATGAAGTTTTAAAGTTATTCGTGTGTTCTGCTTACAGACAGACAATTTCACATTTTTACAGGTTTTAGTAGATGACATTCTTCATATCCCAAGGTTGGTCCAGGACTTAATTTTTTGTTGTTGTTTGCAGGTGTCATGTCTTAAATCTATGTCCTAATTAGATGTTTGAGTGCTGCAGGATGCACCTTGTTCTTAACAAGTGCCATGAGGACTGAGTGTCATCATCTTGGGGTCTTCTTTCTGCCAGTAAATAGCCATGTGATTGAGTATAGGGCATTTAACCTCCCTGTGCCTCAGTTTCCTAACTCAAATTTGAAGAGGTTGAGTTAATTACTAAGTTTCTTTTTAGGGCAAAGGAATCCATGATTCAAGTAATATTTTTATATAAACACTGTAATTTACTCCTCATTCAGAGGAACGTGATCTATGTCATCATCATATGTGGAACATCTATATAGACTGGTCAGGATCCAAGTTCAGGAAAAGCATCAAGTATCTCAGTACACAAATATGTTAAGATTTGGCGGGGGGGTTGTGGGGGGTTTTAACTATTTCCTTTTTGAGGAGTGTCCATTAATATATTTTGTGCTCAACAAGTAGGTTTATTATTTTTAGACAGTATGCTTTAAATAAAGGAGAGGACTTTATTTGATACCTTTATTTATATGCAAAACAGCGCACCATTCATGAGATATGAAAAACTTGTCAGATAGAAACCAGATTATATCTATTTTCACTACAAAATATTGCATTATATAAAGCAACAGAGACACAAAAAAACCCTGAAAAAGACTAAAATCTTTGGATAGCAGATGCGGTTTTTTTTTTTTTTTTTCCCTTGTCTCTAAAATACACTCCTTGTTTTAAGAGTTTCACAGCTGAGAACATGAAACATTTTCAGGTTATAGACTTTTCTTTTTGGTTGTCACAGAGGAAAGTAGTTTTGAATTTTTTTTTTAGGAAAATAACTTAATTTCCTAAAATCATCCCACGCACAAACAGCACACACACACACACAAAGAAGCTACTCTCCTTATAAACAGTTTGTAAAGTACTTTTCAGACATAACTACAGATAAGAATAACAACACTTACTTTTTTTAAAAAACTATAATAGTGAAGTGCTAGTGTTGCTGATCTCACAACAAAAGAACCTTTCAAGAACAAACATCTTAATATATAAAATATGTTTAGAAACAGGGAGAAGTGGGAAATTTGTTATACAAGTGCAATGTAATTAGAGCAAAAAGAAAGACCACAGTATAATCTCAACAAACACGTAAAAAGTTAGACATAATTATTCCACAGGAAAAAGTGTAAACACTTGACTATAAATAAATTGGCACAGAGTATCCAAAGTAAAACTGTCACCACTCTGAAAAATAAATGTCTTGAAAAAAATACTCTACTCCTTCTAACATAAATAAAAATAGGTTGTTTTTTTTCTAACTGCACCTATGGGTCCACATGTTTAAGGTCACAAATAGATGTTTTTTGGATATATAAAGGGGGCACTTCGCCTGAAAAAGCAATCAGATATTAAAATTTCCATTTAATTATGGATTCTCTGGTCTACATCAGTGTCATACCTTGGGGTTAAAATCTCACCCAGCTCAAACCTTCCCACAGTGTGTCTATTCTCAGTGTATCTTTTGAGCTTACCAATATTGAGGGTTTGTCTGTTTTATTTGGATTCTAATATAATCTTCCTTTCCACAGCAGAACGGAAACTTTCCTGTTCCACCTTTCTGTGCCTTAAATCTCGACATTGGAGGAGAGTCTTTCCCAAACCCTCCAAATGTTAGGTGACTTGTCAATTAGAAAAATCCCAGATAGTCTAAAGTTAGGAGTCTTTACTCTGAGCTTCTGCCCTCATTCTTTCAAAACATGAACATCTGTGGGAGATAAATGTAGGAGAACTCAAAGTCTCCAGTGAGCTAAAGCAACTACCCTTAGAGGGATCCTAACACACGGAGGGGAGGCCTGGAGGCGGTGCGTCTCGGGTGCCTCCAGGAGGCACGCCTGGCCTGGAAAATGCCCCCTGCAAACCCCAGGCTCGCCAGACAACCCCACCTTCCCGAGTTGGAAACCCCTCGTCTCCTTGCTGCCCGGAGAGAACGCAAACGCGTGACGAGCTTCCTCCCGCGTCCAGGCCTCTCCCGGCGGCCGTCCCGCTGGGCCACCGCCTCGTCCGCCGGCCCCACGGCGGCCGCCCGGGTCGGTGGCGCTGCCCCGGCTTCCGGACCGGCGGCCTCCCGCCGCGCCCCAGGCCCTACACGTCCAGGACGTGGTTGAGATAGGAGATGTAGCAGATGGCCAGACGCAGGATCTCGATCTTGGAGAGCTTCTTGTCCGGGGGCAGCGTGGGCAGCAGTTTGCGGAGCTCGGCGAAGGCCAGGTTGAAGGCCTCCACGCGGATGCGCTCGCGGGTGGCGTGAGCCGAGCGGTACTTGGCCGTGGCGCGCCGGCGGCGGCGCTTCTCCTCGCGGCTCAGCTGCTGCGGGTGCGGGTAGAGCGCGGCCCGGCTGCCGCCCTTGCCGTCGCCCTCGGCCTCCTCCACCGGCTCCAGGTCCGACACGCTGCCCAGCACCTTGGCGTCCGCGCCGCCCAACGACTCCGGGTCCGAGTGCGCCGAACTGGGGTGGTCCGAGTCGGCGGCTTGGTCCGGACTCAGCATCATTTTGGAGGCTGAGGGGGAGCCAGAAAATCAATCAATTAAAGGAAGCAGGGTTTTCTTTGGATCCGCGGGAGAGCAGGCGAGAGCCTACCAAGTCGGCCCTCGGCGCGGCCCGGGTCCCCTGCCCACCCTCGGCGGGCGCGCTCGGCGGAGCTGGCCCCGCGGGGAAGGGAGGGCGCCGAGAGGGGCAGGCCCGAGGGCCCGAGCCCCGCGCCTCCCCACGGGGCCGGGGCCAGCGAGGTCCCGGCTGGGCCCCGGCCGCATCCCGGACCGGACTCCTCGGCCTGCGGGCCAGGCCCCCGGGGAGAGGGCAGGCCCAGGAGGCTGCGACCGCGTTCTGTGCCTGCTCCGGCCAAATGCCGACTCTGCAAGGCAGTCTGCCTCACTTCCCGTTCCCTGACGAACGAATGATTCCGAACGGCGAGCGCTTCTGCGGTTTACGCGGGCCGGGCAGACGCCGAGGGCGCTCCTGCCCCGAGGGCCTCAGACCCAGCAGCCGGAGGCAGCGGCGCCCGTGGCCCTCACGCTAGTCTGGGGCGTGCGGGGCGGCCGTGGCTGCGGAGGGCGCCCCGCGCTGGAGGTGAGCCCGGGTCCTGAGCGCGCACGGCGGACAGGCGGCCCGGAGCGGGAGGCTTCTCCGAAAAAACAATGACTGAAAACGCGAAGGCTCCTTTCTACAGAAAATTGACCCTTAGGCCTCGCGGCTCCCCAAAGCACCATCTGTCACGCAGACAGCCACACACATCGGGGACTTAGGGACGCGGCGACGCGGGGATGAGACAATGCGCCCGGCAGTCGGCGGACCACCTCATGGGAAAATGCTGGCGGCCCGGTCGCGGCGGGAGGAGAGGCTGGGAGAGAAGGGAAGACCGGGGACGGGAGGAGACTGCCCGAGCGTCCTCTCCGCCCGCAGAGTCCCGTGCTGAGGGGCCCGGAGCCGAGAGCCCGCAGCGGTCCCGGGGCGGCCTGGCCAAGGCCGAGCCGGTCTGTGCTCAGGTCTCCTGTAACGACGCCCTCCTGGAAGACCGCCTCGCCGGGCTCCTCTCCGGGCCTGTAGCTCCGACCCCGACCAAGCGCCTGCGGCGGGGCGGGGGGGCGCCCACAACCGCGGGGCTTGGGGGTATTCGGCCTCCAAGCAAAGGGCCAGCAGTAGGGCCCCGCACCTGCGGGTGCAGCGCGCACCGACCGCAGGCGCCGGGGGAGCACCAGGCCGCGGGCCGCGTGAGTGCAGCCCGAGAGACGCTCGCCGCGGGAGAAATCCGCGGCGGCGACGTGTAGGAGGGCTTGCTTCTAGAGAAACAAAAGCCAGGGATGTGTGATCCGCTCCTAGCACTGCACTTGCCTAGGAGCGAATTTGTCTCCAAGCTGGCTTTCATGGCGCTGCAAGGAAAGCAGGTCCTCTAAAGCAAAATAAAAACAAATGCTCCAGGTGAACTACATGGGACTCCTTACGGGCTTTTCGCAGATACATTTATAAAGTAGAACAACTTCCATCTATACATTCGGCTTGAAAGGGCATATATAAATTGGCGAGTAATGGAAAAGCACAATAAGCAACAACATAGTTGTAGTTCGGCTAAAAAGTTCCTGGGTTGCCCTCAAAGCATGCTAAATTCTCCTCCAGATACCCTTTTAAAATATTCATAAATAGCATGTCGTGCATACATTTTATTTATTTAACAATTAGCTGAAGCACATCCATAAATGCAATATGAATAATCTAACTTAGTTCCAGGGTGGAAAAAAATTATTTAAAGAAGCCTTACCTTGTAAAAGCCTTTTCGATAATCTTTTCTCCAATCTTTTAGAGTTACAAATTCCAAAGAATTGAGGGGAGCAACTCCGAAATATATTAAAAGCAGCAAATATTTATTACATTCGAATATGAAAAAGCAGCTGTCATCTCGCCAGTGTCCACAGCGAGGGACGATAATGTCTCAGGATGTGGACGATACAAATGATTGTTCACTTAGTTGATAGACCAAAAACGCCTTTTCCTTTTAATTGTTCTCAAACATTTCGGGAAATTCGTTGTTGATTTTTTTAAGTGAGGTGTTGAAAAGTCTCGTGCCTTTTTTCCTCTTCTAGGTCTCTATAAATAACAAAAGAGATGCAGAGATAAACACAATCACATCAAAGGCCTGATTCCTCCACTTTCTAATAGCGGAAGAATCAATAAGAAAGATGGTTAAGATAAGATCCCGCTCCTGTAGGACTCCTTTCCTTCCCTTAATACGGTTGAGCAGAAACTGGGAAGTGCAAGGCAGAGATGCGATCTTCCTCAGAAGTGATGTTGTTTTTTTTTTTTTTTTTGAGATAAGGCTTTGTTCAGCTGATGTCTCCCCAGTTCCCAGGAACACAATACTGTAACTCGGGGCTAAGCTTGCCTCTTCCTCTTTCCTCATTTACTTGTAGTTTGTATAAACAGACACCTATTTGCAGTTTCAAAGTCTTTCAAGGCTTGCTTACATCCCCCACCCCACCCCCTCCTTTCTTTACCTTACAGCAAAATATATATAGTCTGGCTTGGAGACGCTTGGAGAAGGTTGGTGGAAAGTGAACGTCTCCCGGAGTAACAGTGACAGGGAAGCGGAGAAAGACGGGAGAGGGTGGGAGAGCCAGAGCAAAGAGGCAGAGATGCGTGTGTGGCTTCTTGGCTCTCCTGGTACCAATTGATTCAGCCTGGAGATGGTGGAAGAGATAAAGGCTTAAGAAGGGGGATGGAATTTTTTTCCCCTAAATTGATATTTAATGGGAAATCCTATTGGACAGAAACCTGGACATGAGTCACTTAATTGGACTTGACATCTGTCACAGTGTGGGAGTTTTCACAGCCCAAATATTTTAGCAGATCAGATTCCCACTGAATCTGTGCCATAAAATATAACAGTTGAAAGCAGTCCATGATAGAAACCTTAGCCTCTAAACAGAGTCTCTAGCCATTACCAGACTATTTCTCTTTTTCAGGTTATTGATGCAGTATTTAAGTGCAAATAAACACATATTGACTATGGAAAAATTGCTCTCACATATTAGAAAAACAGTATCTTCCCTTAATGTTAAGGAAAATATTTGTGTCCAGAACATGAAAATATACACTATATATGATAGGTACTACAGTAAATATATTCAGATATGCAACAGCTAACATTTATTAGTGATCATTTATTTTAGTGATCATTTACATTTTAAAAGATACTTGAACAGGACTTGATTGAACATATTCATATTTTTAAAATATATCTTGCCACTGGATTAATTTTCCAATATATGATTTAAAAAAATAAAAACAAAACCCCCTTCAATAGATTAAGTCATTGGTGGAGGTGGGAAGAGAATCCAGGTATTTTAATTTCAGAGAGCACTCTACCACAAGACCATCCTACTTTTCTAAATATGTTTGTTTTTCTCTTTGCTCATTCATTCATTCAAGTTAAAATATGGCAAATTACATGTGTTGATTATTGTACTTCATTTTTGCATATTTTACCATGTGAATATCTAGCTTTGAGGCAGTGCACTGGGCCAGGATGGAAACCCACACAAATCACCAGTGTATTGCAGCACGTGATGCCTTTGCCTTACACGACCCCATGGCCCTGAATTTATATGCCTTCTAACAAAAGGGAAAATCTAGTCCAATTACTTTACCACTTTATAGAGATACTGTTAGTTTCGATCAACTACATATTATTTGCAATCATTTTAGCTTTTTTGATTGTGTAAGCTTAAAAGAAATAAGAATATTATAGCCTATTCCCCACCTTACTAATTCCTGGGGGGAATATTTGTAGAGAGAGGGGTCCTCAGTTTTCTTTCTTTTTCGATTTTGCTCTAAAAACAAGTTTTATCATCAGGGGAGAGGATTGATCAGCCTACCCCTGGGAGTGACCCTCATGGCTACCAACAGTCCTGTTTGCCTTTGCACACATTTTTCAGCTTAGGGGAGATGCCTGGCCTGGAATGGGGCAGGGGTGGGGGAGAGTAGGAAGTGTCTCCAAGGAAAATGGGCACCGACACTTTCCAGCCTTGCCTCTGCCCAGCCCCGGCACAGAAGTACATTTTAGATATCCCCAGGACACTTACGTGGAGGCAGAAGCCAGCCCCATTTACGTGGCAGTGGAAACAGGTGAGTGGGTGAACTCCCCAAGGTGGTGAAGATGCAGGGAAAAGGAGATTTCCCCAGTCTGGCTTAGAGCAGGAACACTAAGCATTCACACGTAGCCGGAAGTGTGCACACAGATGTGCACCCACAGATAACTGTACTTTCCACCCACCCACCCCCACTCAGGTAAGCTAGCTGGCTCCATTAGACTGCTACACATTCAGATTGACAGGGTGAAAAACCTGGTGCGTCTAATCCCCAGAGCGCCTGGGACAATTGCTACAGTGGGAAGCCACTGGTAACTCTGGTTACCCTGGTGTTGGGGGAACAAGGGACAGGGGGAAGGTACCAGGGCAGGTCAGATTCTGCCAAGGTGTGTGTGGATCCAGACACGTTCTTCTTTACATTCAGGCTTACTGACTCCACACTGACGGACTGCGTGTACATACATTAATACGTGAGTAAGCCCTTGTAAACAGGTACACACTCAGACTCATATATAGCCATGGCTGGACGCACGGTCATGGTCACAAACATGGATTCACACTCACACGTGTATTCTGTCTTCCAGGAAAGCCTCCCCATCCCCCGCAGCCACCTTCGCCTTTTCGAAGACCTCCCCGGCACAGATGGTCCCTCCTTCTGTGCTTCATAAGCACTTTTTTTCCTATCCCCGTTAGAGATTACGCATGGTATATGGTGATTCTCTATTTCCATACCTGTGTTTCCCACTAGGCTGTGATGCTTCCAGGGCAGGTCCCCCAACGCGGATGTCTGAGTCTGACACATTCTAAGTACTCGGTCCGTTTATGGTGAATGACTCCCTGTGTACAGAGGCAGCCAGGATGTTTGTAACGCAGAAACACGTCTACTGAAAGACTCAAATGGTTTCAGTTGTACCAGTTTCCTCTCCATAAAAGTGAGGATAATGATCTTGCCCTACTCACTTCACAGGCTGGTTATGAGACTCACTGTATGTGAAAGTATCTTATAAACTGCCAAGCATCATACAAATGAAGATATTAGGGAGTATTAGGAGTAATATTGTAATATTAAACCAATCGGGAGGTGGCAAGCAGTGATTTAAAAAGCCATACTGGGGAGCCTGGGTGACTCAGTCAGTGAAGCGTCCAAATCTTGGTTTCTGCTGGGGTCATGATCTCAGGGTTGTGGGATCGAGGCCCAGGTTGGGGTCCCTGCTCATCGTGGAGTTTGCTTGAGATTCTCTCCCTCTCCCTCCCTTCTCTCTGCCCACCCCCAAATAAATAAATAAATAAAATCTAAAAATAGGCCAGACTTCCTGGATCTATCATAAGTTAGCTATGTGAACTTAAGGGAGTTACGTTACTTTTCTGGACCTCAGTTTTCCATCTGTAAAATGGGAATAAGAAAAGTATGCTATATGTTGCTATGTTGTATCATCTTTTTTCCAA